TGAGGAATAATAAAATATTATTTGAAGTACACTATAAGCTGTTTTGTCTGGTGATGGGACAAAAATGCAAGGCTATTTTAATTTGTGCAGTCAATGTGCTTACACCACTCAATTTGGCAATAATACTGATTATTTGTATATATTATATTAAATATACAAATATATATTTGTATATATTATATTAGATATAATATATTATATCTATCTATCTATCTATATACACTTACTTGAAATTCCTTTCTCTCTTTATATCTATGTACCACCATAAGCTATGGTGGTATTGAAGATGTACAGTAATTAAAAGATTTCATATAGATTTTGGAGAGGAAGAAGAATCAAGAATGACTCCATTTCTCACATGGGACAGGTAAGATAAGAAGAAGAAAAGGAAGTTTTCATTTGAATACACTAGATTTCACATGCCTTGGTTGTCTTAAATCTGCCTCTGTCTTCAGGAAATCATCTATAGCTTCCGTATTCTCACTTCAGATATGACACCTTTAGATAAAATGATCTCTAAGCTTCTTTACATACACAAAAGCTTTTTTGGTAAATAGTACCTTACCTTTACATTGAGCTTAAAGTTTGCAAGATTATTTTTGCTCCCTCATGTATGGTGAAGTACCTTATGATGGTGGTCCTTGGGCCATGCTTTGAGAAACACTTTTTTGTATTTTTTTAACTATAATATATGATTTTAAATTATCATTTTATTGTTATAGTTAGAATGCATTGTCACATTTACAAAAGCTCTTAAAACATATCATAGTTAAATTCACTCCCCCTATTAGTCTCCTTTATCCCCACTCCACTCATTCCTATAGTAGTTTCAACAGGTCTCATTTTTCCATTTTCATACAAGAGTAGGCAATGTTTCCACTATATTCAACATTGTACACCCTTTCTTTATATTCTCCCCCTCCCACTAATCCCGATTCCCCAGACAGGACCTGTTTTACCTTCCTGTTCTCCATTTTTGAAAAAAAAAAGACATTTTTGTTTGTTTAAGGTATCTATACAGGAAATTTCATTTTGACATTCCCATGTATATTTGCATTATTACCCAAATTGCTTCATCCCCTCTATTTTTCTCCTTTCCACTTTAGTCCCTTTTCTCATGATGATTTCAACAAGTTTAAAAATTCTATATTCACTCTTGTATAGAGAGTATATCAACCATATTCACCTTCTTAACTTCCTTCTTTTACCTTCTCTCTCCTGTTAGTGACCTCCCCTTAGTGCGACCTATTTTTCATAATATTTCTTATATTTGTATTGGGCCTATTTTCCACATAGGAGAGAAAACTACAGCCTTTGGTTTTCTGAACCTGACTAATTTTACTTAAGATGATGTTCTGCAGTTAGGGCTGGCAGAATGCCTCAAGTGGTACAGCACCTGCCTAGCAAGTGTGAGGCCCAGAGTTCAGAGACAGAGAGAGAGAGAGAGAGAAAGAGAGAGAGAGAGAGAGAAACACTTTTCTATTATATATTGACTCCAATAAATGCTTAGTAATTAATAGGTTAAGGGAGAATATAGAATATAATGGTTATCTGAGAAACTACAACCTAACAAGTACTCAATTTGTCTTTGGGAATTATATTTACCAATACTTGAATATCTAGTACTAAGTTTTCTGTGTTTGGAGATGTGATTGATCCTTCTTCCCCGTTTGTCTGTACTGTGGTTCTAAGAGATATGAAAGATTGGGGTGGCTTTTGTCCCTAACTGCAATAGAAATGCAAAGGTGTGAAATCCATTACTTTCCCAATCACAAACCCTGTCTGAGTGTGTTGAGGAGTGAAGATTAATGTTTTTGAGTTGCCAGATAAGGTGTACTTCTTGGATACGGTTAGAAGCTCTATTCCAGAGCATTGCTGGGGCGACCTATTGACAAACCCCACTTTACTTATCATATGCCTCTCCATGCTTGGCATTGTATTTTCTAAATTCAGTCCTCATTTCACTCATGGGGTAATAATTCCTTTTGATTTTCAAAATGAAGCTGCTATAAATTTCTATCATGTTTTTGATCAACAGTCTAATGAATATAAATTTTTCTATGCATGCTGCTTAATGCTCACCCAGTACAAATCAATGAAAACATGCTGCATTTTTCCTCAAGGATAGAAAGGGATTTCTCTTAGTAACTTTGGTTTTATTCTATATTTAATACATGAATTAGCTACAGTGTATCTATGTGGAGTTTTTGTTTCTGTTTTTGAGACAGGGTCTAGCTACATAGCCCAGGCTGGCCTCAAACTTGTGATCCTTCTGTCCCAGCCTCCCAAGTGCTGGGTTGCCAGTTGTGCACCACTACACCTTGCAGAATTACTCATCTTTTTAAAAAAGTATTCATTTATTCACATGTGCATACATTGTTTGGGTCATTTCTCCCTCCTGCCCCCCTCCCGCACCCTCTCCCCCCTCCTTCCTCCCCCACCCTCTCCTCCTTCCCCCCTCACTTCCAGGCAGAACCTGTTCTGCCCTTATCTCTAATTTTGTTGAAGACAGATGCATAATAAGGAAGACAAGGCGTTTTTTCTAGGTGAGTTAAGGAGCTATACAGAAATATTCCTAGCATTGCTTTCGTGTACACATGTGTTACAACCCATGTTGATTTACTCATCTGATTAAAGTAAATATTGTATTTGCCACATGGCATAACATGTAGTACAACTCAATGATTTTCTTCATTCAGGTTTTCTCTCTGATTTTTCTTTTTTACTTTCATTGAGAGATTTATTCTCTGTCCATCTTTTAAGTATTGGCTATATTGCATATTATGTTCATGTACTTTTCTTCTCCTTAAACCTGCTCCTCCTTAAATGCTCTCACTCATTATTATGACTTTATGAGATGCATCCCAAGTCTGTATCTTTGGTCCACTTAAATAAAGTTCAAAACACTGTAGCTAATTATTGTTGGAGAAACCTACAGCCATATCAAATCTATCATGTTCAAAACTATGCTTTTTAAATCTCTTGTCTGCAAACATGTTCTCTGTTAGGTACTCTCTGTATCAGTGAGTGAAGACATGCTATCTACAGCCTTAAACCAGAAACCCAGGAAGCATTCTAACTGCATTTGTCTCCTCATCACACACCAAAAGTCACTAGAGACTTTCAGATTAACAAAGAAGACAGTTTTGTGACTATGTGTTTAGTTATAACATGATTCTCTTTGTTTACAATGAAGTCTAGCTTCCTTGTCATAGTGCAGAGCTGGTCTATGAGCCCTTCTCCAGCATCATTCTTTTGCTGTGCCTTCCTTACATTCAAGGGTGCAGTTTGGCATATCCTGTCCATCCCATGCTACCTGAAGCATGTCTAAGCATTCCATCCATTGTGAAGCATTTCCTAGGCCCTTTTCAGAATAAAGTATCACCTCCTTCAGTCTCTAGGTATGGCGCCCATTTATATCACAGCCCCTAAAGTGTTTATTTGCATGGTCCACTTTGTAGGGAGACTGTAACTCACAGAAGATAAGAGACTGTCTTATTTAAGTTTGCTTTTCTAGTTAACAGGACAATGCCCACATATAGCAAATGCGCAACTGAATGAGTAAGCAAATTTCATTATTAAGTATCTATACATGAATAATTGTGGCTATATAGTATCAATTGTTGGGATAATTTATGTATCATTGCAAAGCATCTTAGCAATATTTCATTTAATTTTCCAGTTTCAGCAAGCCAATGAATTTATTTTATTTTTGTTAAGTGTTTCAGCTAGTTTTTTTAACGAGCTTTTTTTTTTAAACATAGCTTCTTAACTTTTCTCCAAGTGTTTAGGAAAATATTCACTGAGCTTCCTTATTCTTCCCATATAGGTATACCTGTTTGAATCCTTGATAATCTGTGAATCAAACTCATGTGCAGTTTCTCCCCTCCCTTGTTAGCAGTGAACCTTGTGGGTCACACATTAACAGCCTGTGTCATCTCTCTCCAGTAAAGTGCCAAATGTGTTCTGACAAATAAATTTTGAGTGTTTCTCTTCAAACTACTTTACATAACCAGCAAACACACATACATACACATACACATAATATTCAAGTTAGAATTATCTATGGAGAAAGGGATTTCCAGTCACTTACCTCATAGGAATAATACTCTGCTCTTCCAAGCTCTACTTAACCATCTAGGGTCAAAACTGGAGCTAAAGGACCCATTACCACCCAAATACTTGAGAAGCATAATTTACAATGTGGCCCCAGGAGTATGTATGTTCTTATTACTACAAAAGTTGCATGTGTAAGGATTCAGTTGGGTATTAAGTCATCAGCTACTAGCTTCTTTTCTTCTGAACCATCCATCCCCAGGGCCCAAAGAAATGCAGACAGTATGATAAACAACATTTCTTTCTCCTGTTAGATACGGAATCTGACAGTTGTGCTTCCCTGCCTCCTCAGGGACCCTCAGAATGATCTGGGAGGGTTCAGTGGTGATCGCCTCAGCATAAAACCTGCCCTGCTGGTGTTATCCCAGAGAAGGCCCAGCACCTGCATTATCCTGTGTGAAGAGGACAGTGAGGACTGCTGTACCTGGAAAATTCCCTTTTCAGAAGACACCAGAAACAGTAAGATTCTCAGTTCTGACCTTCAAAAGCTCTGTAATCTTTGTGTGGCTTCTTCTAAATCTAATCATATTTCTGAGACAAGTCTAGGGTTGGTACCACAGTAAGTAAAGGATCTTTTACAAAATGTGATGGCTTAGAGATCATTGGTTCTGGAGGAAGAAAAGACTCCTGATGTCAGTACACTGAAAGGAGGAACAGAGTTAAATTATGGTTGGTTGGAAAGTTTTTGTCTTTAAGATATGCTTGCCATTTACAGATGTGGAGTCATTAGTTGCCCATAGACATAATATTGCTGACTGAGTCAGCACATGGTATATATTATAGACCCTTTATTTCTATTTAACACCTAATCCAGATTTGCCTTTGCTTTACAGCACATACCTCACTGCCACAGCAGTGACCAATATAAACACTGTCTCAAGGGCATGACAGAGAATCAGACATGGGTCACAGAATTCACACTCCTGGGATTTTCGCTCACCCCAAGGATGCAGATGCTCCTCTTTGTCCTGTTCTCTCTGTTCTATGCCTTCACCCTGCTGGGCAATGGGGTCATCCTGGGACTCATCTGGCTGGACTCCAGACTGCACACCCCATGTACTTCTTCCTCTCCCACCTGGCCATTGTTGATATTTCATATGCTTCCAACAATGTCCCCAAGATGCTGGCAAACCTTCTGAGCAAGAAAAAAACCATCTCCTTTGTCCCATGTATAATACAGACCTTTTTGTACATGGCCTTTGCTCACACTGAGTGTCTCATCTTGGTGATGATGTCCTATGATCGTTATGTGGCCATCTGCCGTCCCCTGCAATACTCAGTCATCATGAGCTGGAGAGTATGCACCGTCCTGGCTGTTACCTCCTGGGCATGTGGCTCCTTCCTTGCCCTGGTACATGTGATTCTCATCCTGAAGCTGCCCTTCTGTGGATCTCATGAAATCAATCACTTCTTCTGTGAACTTCTGTCTGTCCTCAAGCTGGTCTGTGCTGACACCAGGCTCAACCTGGTTGTCATCTTTGCTGCTTCTGTGTTCATCTTAGTGGGGCCTCTCTGCTTGGTGTTGGTCTCCTATACACGCATCCTGGTGGCCATCCTGGGGATCCAGTCAGGGGAGGGCCGCAGAAAGGCCTTTTCCACCTGCTCCTCCCACCTCTGTGTGTGGGGCTCTTCTTTGGTAGTGCCATTGTCATGTACATGGCCCCCAAATCCCACCACCCTGAAGAGCAGCAGAAGATCCTTTCCTTGTTTTATAGCCTTTTCAATCCCATGTTGAATCCCCTCATCTACAGCCTAAGGAATGTGGATGTAAAGGGTGCCCTGAGGAGGGTGTTGTGGAAACAGAGATCAAGGTGAAGATATTATTAGGGGACAGGATATTGAAGTTAAAAGATGTGTTTTCCATGAAATTGTGGGAATGGGAATGAAAATGCCTTACAGTCTCATCTGTTAGCTTTATGATGTCAAGAATATATATTGTCTAGATTCTGTCCCTAAAGACAGGGTGCTGACCACATTACAAAGCAGAAGAAAGGTACAGAAAGCACAGAAGGTACAGAAAGCACTGAAAGGTACTTTTCCACAGAGAAAGTACAGGAGCAAAGAGCCATGAATTCCTCCTGCCTGTTCTCCATACTACCTAATATTTGGGTTCTGGTCAGAATGATATAAAGGAGTAATATTTTTCTTTTCTTTCTCTCTCTAGTGCTAGGGGTCAAACCCAGGGCCATGATATGCATGCCAGGCAAGTGCTCTACCACTGAGCTGTCCTCAAGAGGGACCTAAGTGGCTGGTACAGTAGGATATAAAGTGATTTCTTTAACACTGTGCATATGGTATCTTTAGAATTCGCCTCCTTTCTACCATTGTGACACTGCACACCATTCAAATGTATGACACACGACATTACATCACCATCTGCTGTCTGTATATCTTTCTATTCTCTTTATTCTAATTCTTTCATATATCACTATCACTCCACATTCTTCTTTTCCCAAAACATAATGTAGCAAAGATGGAATTTACCTTCTACCCTCTCTCCTAGTCCATTATTTTCCTTGTTGTTATCAAAAAGCAAGGTTGGTGACTATTCTTCCCATCTGGGCAAATCATCTAGCTTCTGACCATTATCCTAATCTTATCTCCATAACATGGTGAGTTTTCTAGCCCATGTACATGTGCAAACTTTGTTCTGTTCTCTCCCTAGAGAAAAATGTGAATGAATACTGTCTCCTAATATAATATCAAGTCTTATGGAATTATTGCATGCCCTACTCCAAAGGAGAAAGAAAAAAAGGCAGTATTTTCATATAACAGGGATTTTCTAGCTCTACCTAGAAAAATGACTATATTCTCCAAACTGTCTGCCTTATATTATGGTTAAAATCCTTAAAGGCAAGGCAAAGAACAAAAGTATAGGGCAAAGAAGAACGTATAGGACAGTTCCTTTAATAGAATGCATAAGCTATAGACGAGTTCAGAATTTTCCCCTTAGGGCCTTTTAGAAAAAAGTCAAGGATGGTAATCATTCTTAGGTCAGTTCAAAAATTCTCAAGAAAGAATATAACAAAAAGATTAACTTCTGTTAAAGATAAGTAGTATTAATGAATTATAAATGATTGTTCTCTAGTGGGTCTGTTAGAAAATATAAATATTTGCAGGGAAAAAAGTATGAGAGATTACGATTTCTTGTTTCAATATTTTGATACAGAAAGTTTGGTTCCTGAACTCAATAGTGCCATTTTCCAAATAGCCAGAACAGAGCTTTGATGAAAAGCAAAGTAAAGTTTATTAGTTTGCTAGGCACATGAGGAGAGCAGCAGACTAATGTCAAAACCCTGTCATTCTCTTCCTGAAGCGGGTATTCTGGGTTTTTAAGGGCAAGTCTAAGGATTGAGTTTCTGGGTTTTATGTATTCTGAGGCATGACTTGTGACCAGATGGTGACCTTGGGTCTGATCATCATCCAGTCCCCTGGTGATAATCTCCAGAGTTGTATGTCTTACTGACATGCAAATTCCTTCAATCCTGTGGTCAGTGAGATAAGGAGCTGATTGCCCTGCCTGAAGGTGAAGGGATATCTAGCCTTGAGTTCTCTCTCTCAGGGATAAGGGGGACCTGGAGCAGAAAGACAAGAAAAAATTCCATTTTAACTTCTACAATTGTTGAGCAAGGCTGTCAGGCTGGTAAAAACATTTAGGTGGTGCCCATTATAATTTGAGTTCTAGTGTGTTAATAAATCATATTTTCGTGTTATGACCTCTTTAGATATGTTCTTTCAACATTAGTCACAGCTTTCAAAGGGCTGAAAGTGGAAGAAATATGCCTAAATTTATGTTGAAAATTCCACTGCTTCACAAACGATACCCTAGGTTTCATCAATAACATAATGAAGTAGATATTGTTTTCCTTGTTTAATAGAAAAAGTAGCAACATTTCAGAAGGGTTTAGTAACTTGTCATACACAACAGAGCAAAAAATAGACCAGATGTGAAAATCACTCTTGCTGCAAATCACTGCTTTTCTTCCCTAAACAGCACAGATTTTAGCTTCACATGGGTTAATTCTCAGTAGCCACATGAGACAGCAGTTCAGATTATTATGGCCAAAGCCTTAACCCCAGAAAGAATACATACAGTAGCCATCCCATCTTTAGGGGACTCATTATCACTCTTGATAAGAAGATTGGACTTTAGTGGTTCAATCATTCTCCAATAGTCACTCCCTCTGCACACCTTTCTGAGAAATCACATGGTATGGATGACAGACATCATGCTGCTCTCAATATCACATTGTGCCTATAATACTGATCTTGCTCCAACATCAAATTTACCCAGCTATTTCCTTTTCCTTTATAATGACCACTTTCCCTCTCTCTCTCCTATATAGACTTTGGATGGAGTTACCTTGTTAGTGCACAGTGCAGCTAGGACTGAAGGACAGGAAGAACCTAGCCTGTTCTGAAGCTGAGATACTTTCTCAGATTTGCATTTCAGTTGCTCCAAGATTTACTGATTAGGTCTGTTTGTAAGAATGATTTCATCTCCTCCATTCTAAGTTTCATCTTAAGTCAGGTGTGGGTGATAATGTTTTTACTAGCTGTTCCACATGATTTTTATGAGTGCTAACTGGTACAATGTGTGTGAATCTAATTTGGAGATACATGCATATTTTTATGAGGAAGGTGTAAAAAATGAAAATGAAAATCATCACAAAGACTGAGTGTCAATAAAATTCATAATTAACCAACTGTAGAGGTATAAAATCTAATTTTACTTTAATGATTCATAAGTTACTACAATAGCTACTGAAAATGACAGTGGTTTCAAACAACTTTAGCTATTTGCATTTGTAGCTTTTTGTTATTTTGTTATTTTTTTTTGGTTAAAACTTGTGGGAAGGTCTCAATTAAAAAGAGGTTAAAGGACAAAGCCCAAGAGGTTTGGTATGAAATTGTTTTCACTGTTCCTGCTGGGAGATAAAACTGTAAGAAGAACCTACATAAAATTTTATATTTTATAATAGCAGCAATTCTGAAAAGATTCTTGAGATTGCAGTAAGAATAGGATAGGAAAAACATACAAAATGATTAGTCTACAGTATGATTATATTCATTTGCCTATGTGTACACCAAGAGCTCTCAGTGCTGTGTATAAGGAACATCTCTATTAGGAAATGTCAGGGTCTACAGTAGCGATATAAACTCACCATTGTGTTACCTTGCTAATTGCCTGACAACTCAGCATCCATAATAACCTACTCCTTTTATTGGTCTCCCTGTGCTTGCAGGTACCCAGGATGCTAGTGAGATGAGACTAGGCATACACAGAAGATTAAATAAATTAATGGTTAGACATAAATTATTTATAAATGACTATAAGTATTTATTCTGGAAAAGAGAAGACAAAAGTGAAACAGGTTTGACATCTTCATACGTCCAAGCAGAACATTCTGTAAGCAGTAAAAATCATTCATTGCCTTCCCCAAATGGAAAAACTAGAATCAATAGCTAGGTTCTTTGGTAGATTTAAAATCAATATGAAAAAATATTTTCTAACATTATAAGGTATCTGACAATGGGGTGCTGTGAACTGGTACCAGCTTCCTTATAAATAGATTAGTGTTGAGTGAAATAAGCACATATTGAGCAGGTATTTGGAATACATTTCTCTAGTGTCCCTGAAGTCCTATTCATTTTTTGATTTCACAAATGCTTTGTATCTTATTTTTAATGTGGGGGGAATTTAAGCTGTTTTTAAACAAACTTGTACAATAGCAGCTGTAAGAGAATGTTTCCCATGTCAAAAATGCTGTCTTGTTGTTCCTAGGATTGAAAAGTCATCAAAATGGAAATTCAAATAGAAAAAAGTAGTTACATAAGATCCATACTTGTTCTTTCATTTTAATCACTGCTGCTGCCACAGTTTTCTTCCTAAGTATATGTGGCTTCATATTTTAAATTGTCAGTCTGATCTGCAGTGATAGTAGCTTAATAAATTTTTACTTTAAACAAAGAGCAGTGAGAGATAAACCAAGAAAAGAGGAAATGAAAAAGACAAAATCAGCCTCCACAGAGAGATAAACATCTCTGCAGAGAGAAGCAAAACATAAACGCAGACCCATGAGCGATGCAGAAGACTTGTGCTTGCTGACTGAGTGGGGAAGCTGGCCTCTGTGGAAATGGTTCTGCTCTTGAGAAATAAAGAGATTAAGTACCTTATATGATAATGAGGAATTGAGAGAAGGTTTCTTTGTTGAAAATAGGTTATGGAGAAGGGGAGGAGGGATTCCCTCTACCTACTAATGGAGGCCAGAAACAGGCACTGCCTGCCTCAACTCATAGCCCTCCAAGAGCTGCAGTAAAGACATGAGAGCAGCCAGGCACTGTGCTACACTACCAGTTGTGGCATCCGGCCAACCAATCAGGATAAGAAGATCTTCAATTCATGCAGTATCACTGCAGGGAGAACTCCTAAACCTTTAATATGTGGATTGGATCCAAATCTACAGAAAAAGGGAGAGGCACAGGGGCTGTGGAATGACCTTTTAGTCAAGCAAAATAACCCCAAACAACAATTGGAATATAAATTCATTTCTGATGATGTTCTTTTTGTGTCTTTAGAAATGGGCAATCTGATAAATAATCCATATTTGTTTTAATGCATAAACAGATTTTTTTAAATGCATGACCATTATTTTAAATGACTAAAATATTAAGAAAAAGGTTAGAAAACAACAGATGGAGTCCCAAAAGACAAATCATAGATCTTAGAAATAAAACATAGTCCCTGAACAAAGACTGAATTTTCTTAAATATGAGAAAATCATCAAACAGACTAAATTCTGAATTGAGCACAT